TAAACTTTGTTTGAATTTGAGGAAGGACAAATTGTTTTATTTTTAAAATTAAGACTAAATTGAGAAAAAATAAAAATACAGGGATCAAATTGCAACATAATACAAATACAGGGACCAAATTGAGACTAATACAATGACACGTGGTCTGACAATGACATGTGGCACTGTCAGTGCCATGTCACACTGTCATTGCCACGTGGCACACTATCAGTTTGACACGTTGCATTTTTAAATTTTACTTTTAAAAAAATAAAAAATAAAATAAAAAATAAAAAATAAAAAAAATAAAAATATAATTAAAAAATTCAAAAAAACTACGAACTAACACGTGTCACCCCTTTAACGGTGTTAGTATGGAACTAACGGTAAGGCCTAAATTGGTTCAATTTTTCATAATAAGGGACCTAATCGAGAACATTTACAATACGAGGACCTACTTGAGACGATCCTACAAAAATAGGTATGTTCGAAAGGATTAAACCTAAACATTAAACATGAAACAACATGTTCATCTAGCAAATGTAATGTAACAGAATCCTAATATAACATAAAAAATGTTCTAACAACTATGTTCATTAACAAAATAAAACTAAAAATCTACATAGTCATCATTAGAATGATCTTCATCATCCTGTTGCTCTGTAGATGGTTGGACTGGTGTGGGCTGGACTGATGTGGGCTGCTGAGGGACAGTGGAATGAATGTCTGAAGCAGGCAGCGCTCTCATGACCAGGGACTTGAAGTTTGTAAACTCGGTTCTCAAGTCACTGTAATTTTCTCTCAATTCATGATTTTCCTGGTCACGTTGTTGTAGTAGCTGTGTCAAGCGGTCGATGGTCTCTTTAGTAGTAGTGGTGGAAGAAGATGGTTGGTGCTTTAGAGTACCTCCTCTTGATGTTGTATAGTTTGCAGCAAGTTGTCCTGCACCGTACACCCGTCCCTTTTTCTTCCCACCAACGACATCGACCCAACACTGTGTCCTACGGATGTCGTCGCCCTCATTAGTCGCATCATCCGGTGTAGGAGCTGACCCATGTTCAGATTTAACCCGTGAAAGTCTCGCAGAAAATTCTTCCTATTCAAACATTAAAAGCAATGTTAGTACCATTGTTATTTGCTTACATGAGTCTTTCGAGATCTTTCATCAACGAATTGATTAGTGCCCTTCCGAACATGAGTCTGTGCAAAGACCTCATCAACATGGACCATCCTCGAGCTTGTGCCTGTAACATAATTTAGAAGTGTACATGAAATAGAAAATACATAAGTTATATATGAAAGAAACACAAAAGTATTGAAAGTTTACCATACGAATGACATGCTCATGAACCGTGATCGGTCCACCAGTATGCAGGGTGCCACCCTTTTCAAAAGTTCTGTTCCTCTGGGCTGTAGCACACTTATTGCGAAACTTTGCTGAATTCCAATGAGCGAGTAAAGAGTTCCAAATGTGCTCGCTCAACCAGTAAGGGCGCTCCTCTGCATTGCGGGCATCCCAAAACATCTCTGACAACCGATGAGATGCTTTCATGTGGAAATTTCTTTGTATTTGAGTTTCATGTTCAGGTTTCCACTGCACCTTCATTTGTAACATTAAACAAAACAAACACTACTTTAGTGAACCTACTAAAATAAGAATGACAATTAGTTTTTTATGGGTTGTTCACCTGAAAACGCTGCCAGAATGGCTTTCTGTCGTCTTTAGGTATTCCTCCCCAAGTAGGCCATGGACTTAAAAATTGTTGCTTAATTGATCATGTGATGGCCTGTGAAGCAACCCTGGATGGAATAAACCTGCATATAAAGAAATAAAAGGCATTTGAAGTAAGACAAACTTTAAACATCAAAATGGTTAAAAAAGGGATTAAAGTCTTACCCTTTACCATATGGCTCAATCCATGGTCGATCATGGAGGGGCGGGTCAACACCATTACCATCACCAGCTAAATATGGATCACCAGATGGTGTGGTAGTCTCAGAAGGCGGTATAGAAGACGAGGAAGGTATAGAATTAGAGTCAGGGGGAGCAGTAGGGGTAATAATCATTCACACACCTCATAAACTTTACAATATCTCAGCCATGGTCTAAATGCCAAACAAAAGAAATGGAAAAGTTGGACTCATACAAAGACCCAAAAATTGGTGGTTTGAGATTCAAAATTACACAACAACAACTCTAGATCAAAACTAACCACTTCAACAACTTTGTTTGCTGAATTGAAACATATGGAAACTCAAATTTTACTCAAAACCAAACTGCTACTCAAAATCCCTTTCTACTTCCCAAAATTGACTCAAAGATGGTGGTTTTGGAAGTGATTTTGTGCCTAACCCATTCTGACCCTTTGCTAATCATTTCAATAGTTTTAATTCATCAAAACACACTTGTTTGAACTATAATTAGGCACAAAACAGAACTGCAACTTAGATTCACTTTGAAAGATAAAAAAATGGGTCAAATATGATGGTTTGACATACTAAATTGCATACAGGTCATTCTAACTTCATATCAATGATTCTAACAACTTTAATACATCAATTTGGACTTGTTTAAACTTATAAATATCACAGAATCACAGCA